TTTCTCCTGTCAAATAAAAGTATTTGTATTTTGAATGACAAACCATTAGCCTACAGGATTGTGTGCAGCCTCTAATGAATTTAGGCTTAAGTAGCGAATAGCGCTCTCAAACTTCAGAGTAGTTTATGAATTCTGGAACCTTTCACTGAACTGATCTTCCGGACATAAATTTCACCCCCCATTACTTAAAGAGCCCATGCTCCTTATTCTACATGACTATCTTAATGTACCTGAATATTCGTTGTAATTTCCCTCTCAGGTGTTTTACAAAATGCATGTACTATAACTGAGGAGAATTTTATCTGTACCCTACTATAAAAATTACTTGCTCCGTCTGTCTGTAAGCTCTGTATACAGAATTCCCTCAAGGAGGTCGTCTCTGCTATCAGGGTGAGAATCTTGACAAGACTTAACACCATTTACCAATAAAGATGCATGCTCTGGCTGTATCTTATTACTTATTCCACTGACATGACCACTATGCAACATTTAAAGTTCATTAGCGGCAATATTTATTCAGGAGGCAGGTATATTGATATTGTTATAAGAACTCTGTTTTATATATCCCAGAACAATAATTAAGTTTGCAAAAAAACCCACATATGTGGCCAATGGTCAATAGATCAAAAGTGTTTATTACAGAGAAGTTACTTTTATGACTACTCAAATATTAATTTGAACAGGCTGTACACAGTAAAACTAACTTACCATGGTGTCAGGGAATATGAGACCCATGTTGCATAACCATACTGGAGATTTCCTAGTAGGTTTCTTCATTTGTTACAAAATATGTAGCTGGATTGTGTCAAAAATTTTCTGCAGACGTCCACATTCAGAGGTATGTTCTGTTTAACATTCATGGCACAATATGGCAGCTATTGTGGCATTAACCACAGGAAACAGGCTTGATCCCAGAATCCACTGAGCAGTCACTATTCTTAGATGATCACTTTTGAAATGGTAGCAACTATACTTGCATTCATTACATACATATCATTAGTAATTTACAGTAATTTAACTTTTCTGCCACATCGTAATATTTTTCATATTTAATCTTGCATCCGTTGTTAATATCAAATGTGATATGACTGTGTTCCACACTGAGTGGGGAAGGACTTTTCCCCACTGCCTGTGACACACAGCATGGCTCTCGGGGAGTGGGATAAGCCAGGAGGCACTTGCTACTACCCCAAGCCCACGGTGTGATTTTCCCTGCCCAGTGAGCTCCATAGGGCTGGCGGAGCAGGGAACATGCACAAAGATAATGGACATCTGCCACAATAAAGTAGCAGAGTCTATTAGGACCTTTTGTTGTGCCACTGATTTTCCTGTCATGGGACACAACAAAGGGCAAGGACACCTATTTGGTCAGCATCTGTGCTCCTAAAAAGTTTTAAGGTGGTGCAAATGAAATGTCAGACTACATCAGTTTCCACCTGAAGATTTTGAAGCCTCTGCTTAAGTGTGCTTCTGTTACTTAGGTGCATGGATGCATTTTGGTCCATTCTCTTCTTGTTGCAAGGAGGCATCTTATAATAATTATCCGATCACTACCCTCCCCCCGCTCCTTTTTTTTTTTTAAAGCAAAAAGTGTCTCATTATCTAGAGGGCTGGAAACTAATGTGCCTTTCAATATCTGATTTAAAGTAAAGGCAGAAATAACTACAGTAGACTTTTTCTGACCAAGGCCATGCAAGTTTTAATTTTAGTGGGACTGTCCTTGTTAAACATTTTAAATAATTGAGATTTTGGGGCACCTGCATAACTGGGCTGAAACCCACTTCATCCTCATGGGAACACAAATATCCTCTTTACGTGTTCGGTATTATTATCATCATCTGGATAAAGTAAAACAAAAGGAACAAAACATACGCTGCAGTATGGGCAAAGGAAATTGCCACAAGAAACAAGAAGCATACCTGCCTTTTTAAAGAGGGATCTAATACAGGGGCAGGCAAACCCCAGCACAAGTACCAGAGTGTGGCATGCAAAGGCATTTTGCCTGGCACATGTGCCTCAAGGTGGAAGATTTGGAAGAGGCCAGAGCTGTGCTGTCCCTTGTGGCTCCCCTACCACCCACCCCCTGTACACCAACTTCTTACAAGTCGAGGTTGCGGGTGTTTTGGCACTCTGCCCAAAAACGCTGCTTCCCTTGGCCTAGTACCTTCTGAAAATGTGCACTGACAAAACAGCTTGCTACTGTTTTGGGACATAAAATGCAAAATCATTTACGTTACTTAGACACATTGACGTATTTTCAGTGTCATGCCCTTAAAATGTTAAAAATGTGCTTATTGTCCCCTTTCAAATGGCAGAAAGGACAACGAATGTAACAAATGAAAGAGTTTTAAGAATAAGCAACAAGATACTAACGTGATGGTACCAGAAACAGAAAATCTTAGATTGTAATGGAGGAATACATGGAGAAGCTGAAAGGAAACAAGCAAAATTGAATTATTTAATCACTCGTTATTAGCATTCTTAACTAACAATGATAACACAAAATACTCATTACATATGTTAGACGTGTGTGTGTGTGTATCTATCTATTTATCTATCACCAGCGAGTATTTGGGGGGGGGGGGGG